GGAGATGCTGCTGAAGCCTGAGCGGCAGGTCCCAGGGACTCTGGCAGAGCTGGTGCTGAAGCCGTGGCGGATCATGATGGATTTGCTGGACTTGGTTCTGTAAAGAGGAGGAGGTGAGCAAGTGCAAGAAGTTGCAGTGGAGCTGAGAGTAGGTGAGCGCAGAGAAGGTGCTCCTGGCAGGACTTTATATATGCTAGGAGTGGGCTGGGCTCTGCCCTGGAAGGTGAGCTTGCAGGTTGCGAAGTTTTACAGACAGTGAGATCACACCCAGATCATTAGCAAAATTATGAAATGTGAAGATTGCTTTTTTAGTTTCCTTTAGTCAGGGAAAAATTTTCCTGCCTTCCAGCTTTAACTTAATCTCAATACAATAAGACTTTTCTCAATTCTCTGTAGTCAGAGTTAGTCACCATGTCCAACAGTGGCTCAACATGTTGTGTGTGTAAATCAGAATGTACTGAGTGATCTCTTCTCCCCAACGTGGTCTCTCTCCCCAACTGAGAAATTGGGCATCAGATGTAAAGCATTGCATATGTCTTAAAGGAAGGTCCCTGGTTTTTGAATAACTACAAATGTTATGTTTCACATTTTCATATAAAGAAGTTAGCCAGAAGTTGAGTAGAACAAGGTAGTATTCTACTCCTGGAAAGAATTACAATCTTGGAAACCCACAGTGGCAGTGCTACCTGTTCTATGGGTCTCTGCGTGTCAGAATGGATTTGATGGCCATGAGATTTATTTCAAATACCCCTACTACACTCCCTGTATTTGTATATTTTAATAAGCTCACAATGTAGAAACTAAGTTTTTCTTATGTATTGACATTTTCCCAGATGCAGATATAGATGAATATTTGTTACAATTTTAAATGTTATTTGCATATTTTATAAATGAATAATACACATTTATATACCAAAATATGTTAATAAAACTATTCCTAGCCACCCAGTTGTCGTGAGGCACATAATCTATCTCTACTATATGAACATACCCCAGTAAAGAAGTAAAATTATTGTAAGGTTCTCTCTCTCCCAAAATATATAATTTAGTCACCTCGTATGCCTTTCTACAATATAAACACTCTTTGTGTATATACAATCTTCATAATCTCTTTTCTTTATGGTTTCCAATTATGCTTACTAGGGGTACCCCCCCCAAAACTGAAAAAGCTCTGTTGGGTTGAGCTTTGGTAGTACGCATTTTTCCTGCTAGGCAAGCATCCACCAACTGGCTCTGAGTTAGTGCACCCAGTGGCATCACCTGGGAAGGTTCTCTGGTCACAGTGAATTTTAAGAGCAGCTTCGCTCAAAACTCTTTATTTGTGATGGCCAATTTAAAACAGCGTGCAACTGTGAAATTGTGTTTCCTGCTCAGAAAAAAATGCCACTGAAATTTTTGTGATGTTGAACACAGCTTACTAGGACAGCACTATGTCGACAAAACCATGCACTTGTGCTTGAAGACCACAACAGACCATAGAAGAGATGGACAAGTTATATGTACTATCTTGTAGCTCAGTTCAGTGAATTTTAACGGAAGATTTGGGAATGAGAAGGGTCACTGGTAAATTTTTGCCTTGGGTTCTGACTGACCAGGAACAAGAGCGTCCAGTGGAAACACGCTGTGCTTTGAAAGAACAGCTCTGAAGTGAATCAGACATTCTTTCCAAGGTCATTACTGGTGACTAGACATGGTGCTATTCTTATGACCCCGAAAGCAAACATCAATCAAGCCAGTGGAAGATGCCATCATCACCTTGTCCCCAAAAATCTAGTCAAGTGAAATCAAAGATCAAGATGAGGCTGTTTTGTTTTGATGTGAGGGGGTTTGTGCATTTGGAGTTTGTTCCACCAGGTCAGACTCTTAATTAAGCTTTCTATTTAGAGGTTTTGAGAAGATTGTGTAACAAAGTGTCTATTAGTCCAGGTACTTTAGAGAAACAAATCCACAGCAACTCATGTATAAGTTTTATGTAAAGAAAGTGTGCATCATGAAAACACCCAACCCAATGCTGCCCAAGCCAAGTCCAACATTAACCCATTAACCCAACACCAGTCCACAAAGTCCTCCACCTCACAAAACAGAGGCAATGATGCCAACTGCAGGGGGAAAGCTGAGTCAGTGAACGAATAAACATCTCAGCACTAGCAGGGGTCTCCTCACGGCTGCCCCGGCACCCAGGGCTGCATTGGGGTAGGTCCATGTGGCTTCTCCTTGGGGATGTCTTGTAGGAAGTCAATCTTGCAAGCTGAAGCAGGGAACTGCTAAGGCAGCTGCACCCTGGTGCGACCATCACAAAGCAAGAGACCCAAGAGCCAGGAAAGGCGAGGCTCACCACCCATTTATCCCTCCGCCTTTCAATTAGCCTCACATGTGATTATCGGCCAGGTTGGCACAATTAACTCAAAGTGCAACAAAAAAGGCAATAGGTTTGCCACCATGACAATGCATGTGCTCACACAGCCATCTCAGTGCTCCAGAGAGGCACAAAAAACAGCATGTCTCTCTGGAGCACTGAGAGCACTTACTCACCTGACCTCACTCCATGCAACTTCTTTGTTTCCACGAATGAGGAGGAACATGAAATGAAAGCGATTTGACAATGTAGAAGAGGTGAAGAAAAAAATGAGGGAGGTGCTGGCAGCTATCCAAACAGATGAGCTTGAAAAATGTTTCCAAGAATGGAACTGCAGATTTGACAAATGTATTCAGTGTAATAGAAGGTACTTTGAAGGTGATAAGGTTGTTTGGGAAATTTTTCCTTTTTTTTGGGGGGGGGGGTGGTACCTCCTTGTATGTTAGATCCCATTGGCCTGTAAATGTTTCTTGTAGAAAAACTGGTAAGTTTTATTATTATTTCTTTTATTGGGAGCTCTTACAGGTATTCTAGTAATTCACAATTCAATTAGATCAAGCATAAATGTACAACTGCTATCACCATCTTTCTTCTTAAATTCCTTGATATCAGCTCCCCTTCATACCATACCCCCCAGAAACCTATTATTATTATATATTATTATTTGCCATATCTTATATTATCCAGTGTATCCTTTCACCTGCAATTGCTGTTCATTCCCCTCACGTGGGTTTATACAGGCATTATTGCTATCAGTTCCCCCTCCGCCCCACCCCCTTCCCATACCTTTAGGAAATCATTATTCCCATTACTGTTTCTGAAGGGTCTCTCTCTTGGCTTTCATGCATCGAATGATCTTAATTATACAAACGTGTCTATGCAGGTCTAACAAGATTAATGAGATAAAACAAAGTCCATGTAGTAAGGGGAGAAATATTAACAATCTAGAGGATAGCTATGTATTTCATCGGTGCTATACCACACCCTAGAAATAGCATCCTTTCCGTGTGGCCCTTCAGTGAAGGACTGTCCAATCATTTTACAGGTGAGTCTTGGGGCTCTACTGTGTACACGCTCCTTCATGTCAACTTTATTGCTCATTGATACCTATTCTTGTTGATACCTCATGATCACACAGGCTGGTGTGCTTCTTCCATGTAGGCTTTGTTGCTTCCCTGCTAGATGACCACTTGTTTAATTTCAAGCCTTTAAGACCCCAGACACTACCTTTCAATAGCCGGGCTCCATCAGCTTTCTTTACCATGTTTGCTTATGCACCCATTTG